TAACTGAAAGTACAAACATCTTATTTTTCAAAGCAGCGCAATTCAAGCTGTTCCATGCTAAATTAATATGACATATGGTAGGTGAAGAAGGCCATTCGGCAACATGCAATTGAATACCCACAGATGTGTGATAGAATATAATTTTGACATGAACATTTCAAAAACGAGGGTAAAGAGGATAGAAATCTGTATAAAATGTATATAAAATAATGTGGAGATATGAATGCAAATTTGGTCTATAACCTGAAGAGAAATAATGTATTTCACCATAGTAGAGAATACCATGATCATCTACCCCTGCTGCTGTGTGCCAGCTGCTCAGTCTATATAAAAATTACTTGGTGACCCCTTGCTTTTCCGTGTTACTGTCCTTTATCTTTGATTGAACTTGGATTCAGTAAAAAGAAAAAAGAAACCTCTTTCAAGCAGGTGCTGGTAAGCCCTACAAATACTGTCCTCTGTAAGGTAGGATACAGGGCCACTCTTAGATCATGGTAGGGCATAGCTTCATGCCTTAACATTTGGCATAAGAATAGATGACTTACATATGTGTTTCAATTTTTATTTGAAATAGTTGATGGTATGATTCTCCTAACTTTCATTCTCATTCTTCCTCTTTATATTGTCATTCCATCATTTCTTCAGGCCTTGTTGCACTGTCAAATATTTTCCATCTGTTGGCTTTATCCTCTATCTGCTGCTGGTTCATAATAGTTGAAAAGGTATTCTGCTTTGAAATGGATTTTGGAAAGAAGTGATTTCTTCCATATTTGTGTCTGCTGTATTTCCAAGATTGAATAAGGAGCTGCATATAAAGGAGAAACAACCACCATGGCATAATATTGCATGATGCATTAATACCTATGATTTCTTACTCATGTTGGGCCCTGAAAATAAAAGCTTTGAATTTTATGTAACCATTAGGCTTGTGCACAGACTCATTTTGGATGTTTGCCTTAGGATGGTTTGGAAGCCTGTAAAAGCATGGGCCTGCTCTTCTTTTTTTTACTGGCCACAATGGAACAGAGGCTGTAGAAAACCAACTGCTTTTAGTTTGCTTTGGTTACACATTGAGTGTGGGGAGAGTGGCAGCTGCTAGAGGAAAAAGATCCCAGGAAGTCGGGCTTCTTAAGCCCTTTCTTAAAACCTATGTCTCCTCTAAAGACAGAAGGAAAAGGATCCCTGCAAGTGAGGTTTCTTGAGCCCTTTATTAAACCCAGGTTTCCTTTAAAGACAGAAGGGAAAGGATCCCAGGAAGCAAGGTTTCTTAAGCCCTTAATTAAACCCAGGCCTCCTCTATAGACAGAAGGGAATAGATTGCAAAAGAGTGATATCTTAACTCCTATGCATTTAATCCAGGTCTTAATGAAGGATATAAGGACAAACAATGCCTAAAATGACAGGAAGGGGAGCCTGGGAAGTCCCTCCCATTGCCGCCAACGGATTTCTGCCCTCCCAAATTTGGGAGGCTCCCAAAAATGGATCAGGATTCCCACCAAAATCTGGGACACCAAAAGAGATTGCAGTTCATCAGGATTGCACAAGTCTAGTAATCATGTTTAGATGGATGCTGTTTTTGTTTTTTTACTAAAATTCTGCTCAGAAATTTGAACATACATGCCTGAGATTTCTATATTCCAATACGGTTTTGTTCGCAAAAGTCCGTCAAGAGAGGCAGAGTTCTTTAGGCTGTTTGCCAGGAGTAAGAGTGCCATCTGGAGAGAATTCTATAAGCCTGAGGCATTCAAGGCAATTAACCTATGATACCAAAGAGTTGGGGATTGAGGAGGTGGAGAGATAGTAATCATGATAAGTAGAAAGATACATGTGCAGGCAGTCCCTGAGTTACAAACATCTGACTTAAAACAGGAAATGAGAGAATTCTACCCTTTGAAAGGGAAATTCACTCCTGAAAGAGATGGGAGAGAAGTGTCTCCATTGAAGCTTTATCACTAATCTTTGTTTCCACAACAAGCCAAATTTTTCAAAATCCAATCATCACAGTGGCAAATGTGAGCAGGATCTGCCTGTATGTTCCCCCTAAATTTTAAGGGTTTACCAAAGACTTGCATTTCCAGCAAGAGACACTGCATTGAGATTTTTGTGTCTTTTGATAGGCTTAACAAACATATTACCACAATCTGGATTTCAAAAAATGACGTGTACTTGGTGGTTCAACATTTTTCCTTCAGTCATTTACTTTGTTTCCTCTTTGTCTTTCTTCACTGATAACCTCTATGTTTCCATACTTACTATTTCCTTGGCTCTTTGATTTTTAGGCCACTCCCTGGTATCTTTTTATGAGTCAAGTACTGGCTCACTCTGGGGAAATTGAGCAAGTCCTGCTATAGTACAAATAGCATTTGGAAGATTTTGTTTTGCTAGGAAAGTACCAAATGAGCATAAGGCTCATCTAAGTTATTGCTGCTGAATATGACTCAACACCATGTGGCTATTTTTTGCTACATGGTGCATCAAAACCATTTGATTCCTTCTGTGCTCCTGAGTTGAGTTCCTAACCAGTGCTCTGGAAGCTGACTCATGGATCTGCAAAAGGAAAAAAAACCCAAGCAAATATTATATACATTTTCTTTACTCAGCTGTACTTTTGCAGCTAAATATAGTTCTGGCACGATACACTGCATTGGTTTGCACATGGTTCACATTTCTAGGATTATTTACAGAATCACAAGGACTCTTTGAAGTGAAAGCTCAAATTCTCAAGCAAAAATATGCATCGTAAGGGGAATTTCACAGCAAATTCAGCTTCCTGTCATACTGAGAAGGACATCACAAGTATATTTTCAAATGGAAGCTGTGCGGTAAAGGGAGAGATTATTAAGTCCCTTGGAGCAACTGCCCCTCCCATTCATGGTTCAAGCACTTTGACTTCTGACTGGGGAAAGGAGGCAAACTAAATGTTACAGTTAAATACAGGGCCAGCCAGATCATTAGATGGCGTGAAATGGTTGCCTTAGATAGATGACTTGGAATGGATGGAAAGACAGCAAATTGTTCTTTCATGTGTTGTTTTTGTACTTTTATTACTTTGGAATGGGTCTTAATCTGGAGGTGGCTTAACCTGGATGGAGGTAGGAATGTGGAGAGCAATATTTACTATTTTGTTTCAAGCAGCAAAATTTCTTGCCCTGGCTCTGGCATAAAGCAGTAAAAGATTAGGGACGATGATTTCAGGAGTAGAACAGGAAAGTGTCTACCTGTCAACTGTTTTTTTACTATCTCACATACACCCACTGGCATTTCACATCATCCACTTTTCTCTCACCTAGTTAAAGAGATTGGGGACACATTTACACTGACCATTTAGGTTAGTGTGCAGATCAGCCCCACAGCAGCTAAATGCCATACAGGACTGATCCAGCTTAACCCGGGGAAACATAAACTTAATGCAGATATGCCCTGGGTTAAGCTAATTGAGGCGAAACCTGGATCCTGCAGAAGGATTCAGATTCCCCCTCAAGTTAGGAGCAGTCCAGTGTGCTGGGTTATTTCCTAACCAAAACTGGCAGCAGTTGTCTTGACTACCACCCCATGTTCCCTGACCTCAGGCTGCCCATGGACATGGACTGATACTCTCCTGTCATCCCCGCCCCTGTGCCATGGCTGTTACCGGCTGAAAAATTCCACCTACCTCCTTGTGAGCACTCTTGCTGACATCAATCAGGAGGCCATCTCATTGAGTGGGATGGGAGGGAGAGATGGGGTCTTTCTCTCACCACTTCTCCACTTCCTTAGTAACACAATGATTTGCCCCCTGACATGGGGTGGAAGTGGTGCTCTCGAAGCTGAGCAGTCAGGACTCTCTGCTGTCTCCAAGGCAATTCAGGGAGCCCCAATTGGGGCCATGCAGGACCAGGCTGGCACCCAGGATGACCGATCAGTCCTGAATTACCGGTTGGTGTAGAACCACCCAGGGTGAAAACTAGGTGGGAAACAGCATGTAAATTGTGGGTCCATCCTTGTCCTCTCTCCTGCAAATTATAACTGTCACTGTGAAACAGAGTACCCTAGTCCTTTACAGTGATTTGGTGTAATCCATGCCTTTTCCTATGGATTGTTGGCCTATTCTGTTTTGGCTTCAGGAGACAATTCAAATGAATGCAATCATTGCATTCATTTGAACAAATATAAGTTAGCCTAATTTTCATTGATGTGTTCGGCATCTAAAGTTAATTACTCTTATTATTTTAATCAGAGTTTAAGAGTTTTTAATGGATTTAATATGTTAAATGTGTTAAATGTATTGTGTCATGTTTATTTAATCTGTTTTTATTTGTTACATGTTTCACTGGCATTGAATATTTGCCATTGCATTTTATATTGTTGTATTTCTTTATTTATTATTTAGACCATTTCTACCCCCCCCCCCCCCCCCCCCCCCCCTTCTCACCCTTGAGGGGGGACTCAGGGCAGCTAACACAGGCAACAATTCAATGCCAACAGTATCAAAACAACAATATAAAACAGCAATATAAAATCAATTACATAACAATTAAACAGTGATATTAATTAAAATTACATAGTCACATAGAACAAATCACATAATCACAGGTCATAAAGCCATTTCCAATTTTCAAACAATCCTATTGTCCGAGTTCAGTGCCTAAAGTCCTGCTGTAAACTGCCTTGAGTCCCCTTGGGGAGATAGGGCAGGCTATAAATAAAGATGATGATGATGATGATGATGATGATGATGATGAAATGTTGAGTGTTCTGTCTATCTGCCTCTCTGTCATCTTCCTTAGCTTTTGACTATATAATGTGGAATTTGCATCTAAATAAATATTCAGACAGCTGGGAAGCATTACAGCATGACTTTCACAACTGAAGTTGTACTTTTTTCAACATGTTTTAAAAATAACTCTTAGCCTGGGGCATTAAGAAGGGCAGTCACTGCGACAACAGAATAGAGTTCATCTAACCATGATAAAATGAACACCCTAGAACTAAAGTTTAGCAATCTTCTTTTGTTTCCATAGTTCCACCAAAGATCTCCAACATCTCTTCAGATGTCACTGTGAATGAAGGCAGCAATGTGACCTTGGTGTGTATGGCAAATGGGCGCCCTGAACCTGTGATCACTTGGCGACACCTCACCCCTACAGGTAGGAAAGTTGACCTGTATCTGTGTGCCTCATATTGTTGTTATCTAGCAAAAGAGCTGTTTTAGTGTAAAAACAGGTGAGCTTATTAAATCAACCAAGTTTTCAAATCTTTCTTTATGAGCCCTTTAGAGCTCTACAACCATATGGAAAGATCCTTTTCTCTACCCTCCACATTCTCAGACCTGTTTGATGTAAACAAGGGAGAGACCTTTCTTGGGAGGCTGCTTTGTAAGGCCAAAGTGGCCCCATCATTGCTGTCCTTCCATAAGCAAGTGAAAAGATTTTAATGTTGCCAGGCTTTTTAAAACAGGGTGGGTTGGGCTTTTAATACAGTATGGTGTTTTGTTTTTTTAAGGTTTGTACATTGCCTTTTAATGGGTTTAATGTTGAATGTTTTAACTTCACGAACTATTTAATTACTATTAAAATAAGTTTTATTAATACTTTTATCAATGACTTTGTATAGCTGTAATCTGTATTGTTTTTAAATATCATAGTTGCTAGCTGCTTTGAATGCCATTATTGAGAGAAAAGGAGGATATAAATGAAAAAAATAAATACCATAAGTATTGTGAATTGGGCCCTTAGTATATGTTCATGTTTGGTTCCTGGACCATGAATACCAAAGTTCATGAATAACAAAATCCCTGGATGCTCAAATCCCATTAAATACAGTGGTGACAAAATTGTGTCCTTATATAAAATGGAAAAATGAAGGTTTGTTTTTTGGATGGGTGAGGGGAGAGGGGATATTTTCAAGCAGTGGATGCTCAATCCAGGAAAGCAGAAGTGGATACTGGAGTCACACTGTCTCAGTGTCAAGCCTCTTGGTTTACATATTTTATCCAATAATCAGTATTTTTATCCCAAGATATGATAACAAAAAAAATCATTCTACAATAAGCTCAGAGTATTCATTTTAAAGTCACATAAATTGCCCAAGAGTCTCTTCTTATCTGATCTGTTATGTTTCATACCTATACCTTTTACAGAAAGTCCAAATATGAGTTGAGTTTTCTTTCCCCCTCTTCCGCTGGGCTGTAAAAGGGATTGCTGCCAGTAAGAATTCGATGAATGTGAACAGCTTGGCCCACTGACCATTTAATTGCACCTTTGGTAGTTTAATGCTTGGTTGCCTTGTAAAGGGCACTGTTATTAGCCTGACCTGCAGGGTCACATGGAAGGAAACTCTCCGGTAATTTATTCCTGTTAGAATTTATTTTGTTATCAACCAGTGACCAAATCAAACGTGTCTTGAAAAATACTCTCGGGAGGAAGCCACACAGCTAATTTCTAATAAATTTATCTGTAGATTCATTCAAATAGTTGTTTGTTATATCCATATTTTACATTCTGACAGTTGTACTTCCAGAAAGAAATCTTAAACACATCAAAAATGGCATTTGTGAAGTAGCTTAAAGATGCACAGTATTATTTCAGAAGGTTTGCACCACCTTTGTGTTCATTTTGACCATCCATATAGAAAAACATACTTATTCGGGGGGTTTCTCTCCCTCTTTGCCTCCCCCATAGAAATTATGTAATAATAAATATTTTATAAATAAATGTTCCTAGAAAACCATACAGAAAAATGTGCAAAATAGGCACCACAACTGAACAAAACAAAACAAAACAGCAACTATAGATTAGGGCAAATAAGACATAACATGCACAGGACAAGAATCAGGTGAATAAAAAAGGTCATGTTTAGGATTTATTTAAATTTTATTTCTGTTTGTGAGGCAATATCAGTATTGAATGTATAGGGGGGTAGGCTAGTGAATATTTGTCTTTTAGCAATTTACATATATGTTTTAAGAAAGTACTAAGACTCACTATTTACAATTGTATTTCCTCAAAAGTAAACCTGGTGGCATAACAGGTTAAACCGCTGAGCTGCTGAACTTGCTGACTGAACGGTTGGCGGTTCGAAGCTGGGGAGTGGGGTGAGCTCTCACAGTTAGCCCCAGCTTCTGCCAATCTAGCAGTTCGAAAACATGAAAATGTGAGTAGATCAATAGGTACCACTCTTGATGGAAGGTAACAGCACTCCATGGTGATGTCTACGGACAACGCCTGCTCTGTGGATTAGAAATTGAGATGAACACCACCCCCCAGAGTCGTACACAACTAGACTTAATGTCAAGGGGAAACCTTTACCTTCACATTAAATGCATGTAGCTTTTTTGCAATTTGATTAAATGTAGACTTTGGGATATGGAGGGAAGACCCCTTGGAACATTCACATTGATTTGGTATGGTTTTTTTCTGAATAAGACTATGCCTCAATTTAACACTAAATCAGCATAGGACGACCCCCTGTTGTAGCAGCTCCTGTGGCTGCCAGCCTGTTTCTGGGCACAATTCAAAGTGCTGGTTATGACCTTTAAAGCTTTAGATGGTTCAGGTCCAGGCTATTTGGCTGACCGCATCCCCTTGTACAAACCTGCCTGGGCCCTGACATCTTCAGGAGAGGCATTTCTCTCAGTCCCACCTCCATCTCAAGCTCGGTCAATGAGAGCGAGAGTGGGCCTTCTTGGTGGCTGCCCATTGACTCTGGAACTCCTTGTCTAGGGAAGGCAGAATGGCCTCTTCTCTGCTGTCTTTCTGGTGGCAGGCTAAAACCTTTTTATTCAAGAAGACTTTTAAAGATAAGGTGTTTAAGTCATGGGATGCTGTGGTTTTATATGCTTTTATAGTTTTAACTTGAATTATTAATGTTTAATATTAATGAAGTTTAATACTGTTTTAATATTTGTATATTGTATATTTTAAGTTGTAATACTTTTAGGTCTGAGCCTTTTTAGTCCTCCCTATGGAGAGAGAAGATGGGATGATGATGGTGGTGGTGATGATGATGATAACAACAGCATAAAAATAGTGTGGACAATAAGTCACACAGAAAAATACCATACAATAATATGATTTTATGAAGGTATTCAAAGCATTGTACCAGGATAAGCAGCTCACAGACATGCTCACTATTAAAAATACTCCGAGCAGTAACTTTTTTCCAATTCAAACCAGATGTAAAAGCTTGCTGAAACAGCCAAAGCATCACTTATGATGAACAGGACAGAGGAGCTCGACAGATGGATGTATCTGAGAGCTCTTTCCATTTCTATATTTGCATTGGTAAAAACACTTTCATGTTTATGTTCCAGGTGGCAAAGGAGTAGTATATAATTTTAATTTATCTGATTTTATTACTACATCTCTAGGCTCATTCAGCTTAACGATCATCTCCAAAATAGCCTGGTCTAAAGATGTTTTTGTAGCAAGATTGCCATATTTGGCACACTACAGCCTTACCATAAAAGGGCAATGCATAATATTGCATTGATCAGTGAATACTTCTTCTTCTTCTTGTGTACCTTCAAGTCATTTCAGACTTATAACATCCCCAATAACAACTATCAGGATTTTCTTGGCAAGATTGGTTCAGGAGTATTTTTGCCTTCCACTGAGGCTGGGAAAGTGTGACTTGTCTAAAATCACCAAGTAAATGTTTTTGACCATCTGGGAATTCAAACCCTGGCCTTCAAGGTTGTAGTCCAATGCTCAAACTACTACATCACTGCTAGCCATGATAAGTACTATTTTCAAAATGCATCTGGGAATGAGGTTCCCTATCAAAATTACTTCCAAATTCTCAGATCACCATAGTCACATTTTTGATAATCACTATTTATCTCTAAAAGGCTATAATTTTAGGACAGTGCAGTCCCACATGTAAACAAAGCTACAATTTTCTATATGGGTACCAGCATGTAAGTATGATTTAAAACAGTGTGGCCTGCTTCTGTATAGGCTCTGTAAGCATCTTTTAAACAACAGATTTTCCAGCATTTTCCCTGAGCTGCACCACTAATTTTACCCAGTTTTCAAGAGATTTAAGTTTCTTATACATTTAAATATATTAAAAAGGTACGTAACATTTTTGAAAATATATAAGTGAGTGTATATAAATCCATCTTCTGAAAATGGATCCTCCCTGATATTTTCAGTTTTGACAGTCCAAGTTCAATTCAGCAATGATCTCAGATAGATTCAGATGTCATTTCCATCAGAGATGGATTCCAGTTTTATTCTATTTAATGAGGAGCACAGAATCAAGTCCAGTCTGTTCATTCCGGGTGGGATTCCATCCTCTTAACAAGAAGACATTTGACAATATACTTATGAGCAGAGGTGTTAAAGAAGCTCAATGCTGTCAAGAGGAGAAATTTCCAGAGCAAGAAATACTGTGAATTTAAGCAGCAGGCATGGATCAGAACTGAAGGGGACAGAGCCGGGAATAGATGAGTGGAATGGAAAAGTCGGAGATAAAACTTCAGCCCAGTCACCCTTAAATCAGAGGGAGAATTGTCAAAATATGAACCAAGCCTTTCATATTATCCCTAGAGCTGAGATAAGTGAAGTTTCTATAATGTCTGAACTTGGCATACAAAAATGCACAGCTTTTAGTGTCTTTGTTATTGCATTTTCATGAATTGAGCGGTGTATCCATGCATAGTGGCTTGAGTGTTGGACTAGGACACTGGGAAACCAGGATTTCAAAACATTCATGATATATTCACTTTATCATCACCATAATTCCTAAATGACTTAAAGACATACAACAAACATCAACCCGCCATGAAATTGTTAAAGGCGCCGAACCCCTACCCCTTGAAGGAAAGATTCTTTGTTGTGGAGCAAAGGCTGTGTTTTGGTCCCAACCACAGTGAAAAAATCTTTATTATAAGCAAGAAAGAAAAATACTGCCAAGAAGAAATAGAGGTGGGAGGTGGGAAGGAAGCCAATAAAATAAATGTGAACAGAGCCAGGCATGTTTCCTCCAGTGATTTTTGAAGTGCCGAGCCAGTCCCTTCTGTTGTTGTCAGTACTAGGTGTAAATGTGCCAGCCATGGAAATATGTTAAGAAATGTGTTATATTTTACCCCTTTAATTAAGTCATATACTGGTAATCTGCTCACTTCTAAAACGTAATTTTAACA